TGTTTTTTCGTTGTCATCACTGAAATCGGGTTAATATTTTTCTGGAGGGTAGGAGGCCCAGAGAAGGGATTAAGTTACCCAGGATCCCACAAAGATTACGCGAGGGCGGCCCAAGAAGTCCTCTTTAGCAGGTCATGTCAGAGAAAGTGCTTTGCAGTTGTCACATCAATTAACAAAAGAGGCCCATTTATTGTGTTACATACCTGTTGCTTTATACCTGATTATTGCTCCAGCATTACCCTTAAGGAAACAGAACCCAGAAGGCTGGTGTCACCCACTTGTAAATTAAATCAGAAATCAGACATAGATCTGGCTGTACCATAGAAAGTTGAGCATTTAAACTTCACTTACCGCCTTTAATGGATCCAGGTGTCCAAGAAACTAAAGCAGGCTCTTGGATGGGCACCAAGATGTAAAAGGGAAAAAAAAAAAAAAAAAAAAAAAACAGTCCCTTCCTCAGAGAGATTAGGCATTGGAGAAAAGAAACACAGAGAGTCAGATGGCTGAGATGCAGGGCAGAGGGGACGGAAATGAGCTCTGAAGACCGCAGGCCATGCCTCTGGCCTGGAGTGAGGAAACACCCGATTCCAAGAATAGAACAGGTTGGATCACTTTTACTTGACCAGAGAAATTCAGTAGAAGCTCGAGGAGTGTAGCAGATTCTCTTGGCCACATGCTCATTAACATGCTAATCAAACGCCTTCCTGAACATCAAATCTCTGTCTGCCTTATTCCTGGTGAAGAAGAGAATTTGGGGTGAAGGGCCCAAGGTGTTTCCTGCACTTCCAATTCAGCTGCTGGTAATTCTTTTCTTTCCCTGGGAGTCCCAGAGAACCAGTACAGACGCCACTCAAGGCTGGTGTTACGGGTGGGCATGTGTTCTGAACCAGAGATTCACAACAGCAGTGTTTCAGTTTCAAAAAGGAAAGAAAACTTTATCATTATTACAGAAAGCTATAGAAACAGAAGAGCAGAGGAATCTACACAGATAGGAGGTTAACAGTAGGCAAATAAATGAGAATAAGGCAGAGTTACATCAGATCAGGTCCTTACACATCCTGCCGCATCTGCCGGGGAAGCCGGGTGGAGACGGCCGGGCTGCAGTCCTGACTGGGAGGCCTGGGCAGAGCATCCTCCCGTCGGTCAAGACTTCCGACTCACCGTCCCCATAAGGGCCAGATTTGAAGAGCACATAACAGGGTTTGAAATTAAACATTTGTTCACCTACGTGTAATTTGGAGCGAGCTGCCTTTCCGTGTTCTCACATTTCTGTGTCATCAAGGAGCCCGGGCTGTGTGTGTGCCCCCACTCCTGGATGCCACCCTGGGGAGCCAGCCCCCCTGGAGCAGGAGGGGACTTGAGACAAGATTTGTAGCTCTTGGTGTTTGGAACAGAAGGGCCAGTTCTGACCTGGAGGCCAGCTCATAAACTCTAAGTAACCAGGCTCCCAGGGTTATTCACACAGCACGAGTCTCGGGCATGTCTTGGCCTGCCTGTGAACCTGCAAGCGCAGGAGGTCGGTTCTGCAGGACAAATCAGAGAAGCATCTAGCCATATAGAAGAGCATGAGAGGCAAAGTTTAGAGAGCGGGTGTGAGGATCAGTTCTGAGTCCCAGGGGATGTGGCTGTTTGTGTGGCCAAAGAGTGGAACTACTGATGTTACCAGGAGTTCCAGTAGACCTTGTCTCTGGGGAGAAACTGGGACTGAATCTGCTACGGGCCAAGGACTCAGAGTGTCTCTGAATCTCTATCCCTCCCTTAGTTTAGATGTAGAGACTTTAAGCAATACGTTTCTAATGATAGATTGCAAAAATTGCCCTGAATTCATCTCATCCTGTTTCTGTTTGTACACTTTTGCTTTTGTGACTTTGCTGCTTCTCCCATCAAGAAGTGAATGTATTTCTCTGTCCCTTAGATCTGGGCTTGGCCAAGTCATTTAACAAATGTAACCTAAGCAGATGCCTCAAAAGAGCCGGGTGCTTTGCAACTTGTCCCCCTTTTGGTTCTCTTACAGCCCTGAACAACCATGGGAAAGAGGCTAAGCTCGCCTGCTAACAGGAGGAGGCGCTCCAGGCAGCAGCCTGCCAACCCCCAGACTTGGGCTGAGGCCACGCCAGATCTCCTAGGGCCAGCTGATTCTCCAGTTGTTGTGGACACACGAGAAGGCACAATAGGGTTCAGCCACATACAGCCCTGACCAGCTGACCTACAGCATTGTGAGTCTAATAACTGATAGCAGGGTTAAGCAACAAAGTTTTGGAGCGGTTTCATGCAGAAATTGACACACATTCAGCGGATAGCCTTGAATTAGTCTCTTTTTTGGTTGTTTTTGTTTTTTAAAGATTTTATTTATTTATTTGACAGAGAGACAGAGATCACAAGCAGGCAGAGAGGCAGGCAGAGAGAGAGGGGAAAACAGGCTCCCCGCCAAGCAAAGAGCCCGACTCAGGGCTCGATCCCAGGACCCTGAGATCATGACCTGAGCCGAAGGCAAGGCTTAACCCACTGAGCCACCCAGGCGCCCCTTGAATTAGTCTTTTACAACAGTGACAGGTGTTGTTTACAAAGTAAAATCCCAGATGCATCCAGCTTCTTGTCCCTTGCCCCTTCAGTGCCCTAATTTTAAAAAATTCTGTATCTCTCCCTTTCTTACACGAGGAAACATTAATGAAGTGATCTCCTTCCAGTGCTGTTTTCATCTCCAAACTGCAACATTCTCCATTCCCCATCTCCTGGGACAGGTTCTCCCATCTGACCTCCAGCCCATGGTTTCCATGTTATAAAAGCCCCCCAAGGTTCCCAGCTCCTACAGGGGTCAGCCAATGATGGCCAGAGCTATAGGAACAGAAGAGCGGATAGAGGAAGTGGAGGAAGGGGAAAAGAGGGGGCAAGAATATATCAAGTCTTTTGGGGCACGTGGGTGGCTCGTGGGTTAATCCACTGCCTTGACTCAGGTCGTGATCTCAGGGTCCTGGGATCGAGCCCCACATCGGGCTCTCTGCTTAGCGGAGGCCTGCTTCCCCTATCTCTCTGCCTGCCTCTCTGCCTGCTTGTGATCTCTCTCTCTGTCAAATAAATAAATAAATAAATCTTAAAAAAAAAAAGAATTATATCAAGTCTTTGAACCAAATGTTTATATACTGTGACTCAGGCAACCCACGCTGAGGAAAAACAAGAGAGCTGAAGACATAATTACATACAATGATGTTCATTTGAACGTTACTTGTATTTGCAAGAAACAACCCAAAAGGATATGTGACTATGAGATTGCTACAGTTATTTAAAACCACATATTAAAATAATTTTTAATGTCATGGGGAGGAGCTAGCACTGAGAAAAACAAGAGCTAACATATGAGGAAGGTGGTTTACCGCCATGGTGGGAGTGTTTGTTCCTTAGAACTGGGAGTATAATTTACTGTAGTTTACAGTATTCCACAATAAATATCTGTGAGTTTAATCATTTGGTATCTGTATCTATTTCTGTATTATTTACAGAAAGAGGCCAAGAGAGAGGGAGGTGGTGGTGCTTGCTCTCTCTGAAAAGCTGAGCTGAGACCGGGAAGGGGGTGCAGGTGGTTGCTAGGATGGGCCCCCAGGGCAGGCGTGCTGGGACAGGGAAGGTGGACCTGACCCGATTACTGCTGCAAACACGTCAGTTCCATTTCACTGGATGTCGTTTGAGGCAACATGTAGAAGTCATACCAGAATTGTTCCTCTGCAGGTCATTTGGTTGGAGACTCTATCCATCCACCCCATTCCCTCCTTGGCTGATGATTCCCTCCTGGGATGTGAATCGCCACCCACCTCTTGTCTGCACAGCTGGTGACCAGAATGAGCTCACCCAGCTTCAGAAAAAACAGATGCTTAAAGGCTGCTCTGAACCTAAAACACAGCATGCTCAAAAGCCCTGGGGCCGAAACAACCTTGGCCTTGTCCAGGACCAAAGAGAAGACCACGATGTACAGAAGGTGAGAGGCAGGAAAAGTAGATGACTCATTCAGGAAGGCAAGGCCTGTGAGGCCAGCGTTCGCCTTCTGGGCCACGGTGAGTTCAGGTGCACAGACTCTGGGTGGGTTGCTCAGTTGTATTCCTCTGGCTCCCTCAATTGCTGTCTCTCCTTTCTGCTGTGCCCTGTCCCTGCAGGACCACAGACACCACACATAACTGACCTTGCATGCAACTGCAGTAGGAGAGGATGTCTAGAAGGTCTAAAGAAGGGGCACTGGGGGGCCCTCTTCTTTTCTGGCTAAGTACGTATGGGCTACCGCACGCAGCCTCTGCCCATTGGTTCTTGCTAATGCAATGCTAGCAGGAAGCCATATGGTAGGTTTTCAGAAGCTACATAAAAATTAGCTGTTGCCCGCAGGCCCTTTGCTCTACATCTATGTCCCTTTCTCCACCCTACATCTTGGAATGTGGTCTTGCCCAGTGAGGAGTGTCCTCCTAATGTTGGCAGGGCCTAGAACCTAGAACCCTGCTCAGAGAAAAGTCCATACCGTTAAACACTTAGTTCGCTAAGCAAGAAAGAATGATGATAAACATTCAACTAAAAAAAAATGTTTTTTATTAACAAAATAAACCTTTGTAAATCATAAGGAAAATTAAGATACAATGAGAAACTTGAGTGCAAGCTAGTTATAGAACAAAAGATAAGTTCTGCTAGTCCTTAACAGGAAGAAATGCTACTATATTAGACAAACATTAGCTACTGTAATAGAGGTTTTTTAAAAAAGAAAACAGGAAATAAAATGGAAGTCTGAAAGAACATAGACAGGAAATATTAGTTTTGAGAGCAATTTGAAGAATTATGTGCAAATACATTTGAAAACTTTGATAAATTGCTTTTTAAACGAAACTGAATGACCTGACTGATTCAAGAAGAAATGAAAATCTAAACAAACCCATACATACAAATAAAGTTCAGCAAGTTACAGAACGCCAGTTAAATACATGGAAACAAAACAAATAAGGAGTAGATGATTTTATGGCTACTTTTTTTTTTTTTTTTTTTTTTTTTTTAAGGAATAGCAACTCACTGTGTCCTGGAAGATTGGATTAGTTTCCATTGAACAGAAAACCCAAAATGATAGTGGCTGAAGCAAGTTCATATCTCTCCCATGTCGACAGTCCAGAAAATGTAGAAAGTCCAGGAAATCCATAGAATCCAGGGCTGGTATGGCACCTCCACAAATTTACCAGCTTCCTGTTAGCCACACTTCCACCATCTGTAGAATCTAGGACAGCTTCTAAAGACCCAGCCATCACACCTCAATCATTTACGTTGTTTGTGGCTTGGCTGACTTTACCATGATCTTGCCATTAGTCAACTCAGCCATGATAATTTAGGTTGAACATGGAATGTTCTCTTCAAAATTGACCCAGCTAGAGCTAAGGTCTATTTGATCATAGAAGACTCATAACAAAGTCTGCCAACAATCATGCCAACGGTAACTATTTGCTGAGATCTTAAACTATTTCAAGATAGTTGGCTTGGCACAGTCTGGAAAATATCAACTTCTTTTCCAGTACCGAGTCCCCCAAGAAAATCTGTTATTATTCTGAATTTCCTTCCCATTTGAAACATACCCCTGTAAGCCAATTTCAACTCCTCTTTCACATGTGACGTGTTATTGCAATAGGCAGAGCTCACCAGATCTGGAAGGCATCTGTCCTCACTGCATCATCGGAGCTATGCCAGAGGTTGGAAGAGTCACTGTGTTGGCTCTCCTGCTTTTTCTCACAGCTGGTAGAGACAACCGCAATTTCCCTCACCCCCCACCCATGAGTTCCTATGGCATCGAACAAACTGGGAGAACTCAGACATCCTGATCTCCGGGTCACCCTGCAGGTCACCCAAAAACTCTTGGAAATCAAAGCTCTGAACCCACTGAGGGGCTTGGAGGGGTGGAGAAGACAATGCATGATCATTGCTATTATCTGGCTTCCCCAGCTCAGGCTGACCATCTGTGGTATTTTTGCCATTGTTCTATCCATTCATTCAAAGAAGATTTATTATGTAGCCACTAAAAGCCCAGCACTGTTCTGAATACAAGAAGTGAAGAAAACAGACCAGATTTCTGCCCCCACAGGATTGACATTATATTTTCTATGCTAGTTAAACCAAGAAGGAGATTTTAATTCTTTCCTTACTCGTCTGGGGGAGGCAGGAACAAAGGAGAATGTTGATAAACCCGGAAATAGGGCCGGACAGTATCAGAGAAGGAGGCCTTTGGGAAGGTAAAGATGTGGGATCCAGTGGTCATGTTGTAAAAGGATACAAGTCCGACATCACAGTCCAGAAAAATCCCCACAACCAGAGGCTGCTCTGCCAGAGAAAGGGAAGTTATGGGATAGGTAAGTGCTAAGTAGCCTTTCTTTTTGCACAGTCTAATGGCCCAGAATCCAGACTGAGGCTTCTGCATCAAACCAATGTCCCTGTGAACACTATCCAGACAGACTCCTAAGTCCCACCCAGTTCCTTCTCCCACATCCACTTCAAAGTAATGTTTTCCTGAAGTGAAGCCTTCACAGCCCAAAATACAGGGTAAGATACTAAATCTCTTAGAAGAATTGTCCAGATTCTCCTGGGGGCATCCACGGGTCACTTGTCTCCGATCCTCAGACAGAATGAGCTCCCGATGAGCTGTATCTGGATCCAGAGTCACATTGACTGAAAACAATAAATAAGTAAGTAGATAAATAGATAATTTTTTGTTGTCAGGAGCACAGTTTAATTTAAATAAAACCAGCCTGTCCTCAGATCCAAGCATTGTCTCTTACTAGCCCTGACAGCTTAGACAAGTCACTCCCTAAGACTCAGTTTTGTTAGATAGGAAGTAGAAATTATCGTATCTGGCACAAAGAATAGTGGGAGAACTGAATGAGATCATGTACGCTCAGTGCTGAGTAAAATTCCTGAATTATAGTAAGTGCCCAGTCAGTGGTAATGATAAGAATATCATCTTCATAAGCGTCACCATCTTAGTCACTCAGAGGAGTCAAGGAAAAGAACTAACCAGAGTTGACGTGGTTACTGTCCTCTCCAAAGCCAAAGGAAGTACTAGAGGAGACCACAGGGCAAAAAGAGGCAAAGTTAAGAGTCCCAAGTCCCTCCCTACTGCCTATCACTTGGAGGGTCTGCCTTCCTCTGCCTCTGGTCACACTCTCCTGCAATTACAGTGTCCTCCACCTGCTCCTGAGGGCTCCAGGGATGTGATGGTTCGGTTCCTATGCCTAGCCCTGGCTGCTTCACTGTTCCTTGGTAATGACCCCAGTCTTCACCTCTGTAGGTAATTCCTTTATTAAATGCTATCTGATCAGTTCTTATCATGAGCCTGATTCAAAAAAATTTGAGGTTTCAATTGATATTCTCTTAATGATACAGGAAAACCCAAGTTAAGAAATTAAAATGCTTACAGGTTGGCAATACCACTTGAAGGTGAAGATATCAATTGGATTTTTAAAATTTTACCTCAGGAAGTGGAGATGCAACGTTGGGGGGTTGGGGAGTAGGAAAAGAATAAATGAAACAAGATGGGATCGGGAGGGAGAAAAACCATAAGAGACTCAATCTCATAAACAAACTGAGGGTTGCTGGGGGGAGAGGGGTTGGGAGAGGGTGGTTGGGTTATGGACATTGGGGAGGGTATGTGCTAGGGTGAGTGCTATGAAGTGTGTAAACCTGGTGATTCACAGACCTGTACCCCTGGGGCTAATAATACATTATATGTTAATTAAAAATTTTTTAAAAATTTTTTACCTTAGATTGCTTATAAGTGACACATACAACAAAAAGACATAGGAAGGTTGACAGTTAAAGGATGGATAATATAGTTATATAGCTGTAACAGTTATATAATTATATCAAATGATATTAAGTCAAAGTATTATCAAGGATGAAAAGGGTTACCCAGCAGAGAAAAATACATTAATTCACTAGGAAGATATCCTAATTCCAAGCAAGCATGCACTGATAATGTAGTCTCAAAATATGCTAAGTAAAAATTATGGAATTATAAGGAGAAACTGACAATTCTACAACCATCATGAGGTATTTTAACATTCTTTTTCTCCATAATTGATAGATCAAGCAGGCAAAAAAGGAAAGATACAGAAGATCTGAACAACCCAACAAGCCCAATCTAATAAATACATATAAAGCTCAGCAATTAATAAACAGAGAATATGCGCTTTTCTCCAGTATAGATGGAATATGTACTAACTGAGTAAAGACTAGTCAGAAAGCGAGTCTGAACAAATTCCAGTGACTCTATACTGCACAGATCATCTTCTCTCACCTCAACACAATTAGGTTAGAAATCAACTAAAAAAGATCAATAAAAAAAATCTTCTCAATATTAGGAAATTTAAATGCTTCTAAATCATAATATGATAATATACAGACTTGAGCAATAATAAAATGCTACATATTAAAAAATTATACAATGAAGCTAAGGTGGAATTTTCCAGAAAATTGATAATCTTTAAGTACTTATTTTAGAAAAAGAAAAAAAGCTGGAAATGAAGGAGCTAACTATGCAGGTTAAAATAGGTAAAGAACAGAGAATGGGGCTCCTGGGTGGCTCAGCAGGTTGAGCATCCAACTCTTGATTTAGGCTCAGGTCATGATTTCAGGGTTATGAGATCGAGCTCCACATGGGTCTCCGTGTTCAGTGGGAAGGCTGCTTGAGAGGCTCTCTCTCCCTCTCCCATTGCCCTTCCCCCTGCTCAGGTGCTGTCTAAATAAAAAAATAAATAATCTTAAAAAAAAAAAAAAAGAACAGAGACCCAAAGAGAACTTTTTTAAAAAAGGAAAATAAAGTTTAAATAATAAACCAATGAAATGAAGGAAAATAAGAATGCAATGGAGAAGGAAAAGCCAATAGTAGCTTTCATGAAAAGACTAATACAATAGACATACCTCTAAAAAGATTTATCAAAGGAGAAAAAAAGACAAAATTGGAGTGAATATAGAAATTTAAAAATTAGAATTTATGGTAAACTTTATGCTACTAAGAAAGTTGAAAACATCAACATGATTAACTTTCTAGAAAAACAGTTCTTTGTAAAATTCATTCAGAAGAAAAAAAAAAACATGAACAGACCTAATGTTAAAGAAATATAATAAGGAGTTTAAAATTTACCCACAAACAATAAAACATGCACATACACCAAATAAAAAGGGACCTTGTCAGTTTTTAAAGAAATTCTACCAGTCAAGGGATAATGGCAATCTCATACCAAATCTTTCAAAGAATAGAGAATTACAGAACCCTATAACTTACAAACATAGACACAAAAATCCTAAACAAAATAATATAAATAATAAGTCAAACTTTACATGTGTGTATAATTGTATTTTATACATGTCTACTTTACTTTTTATATATGTATAAATGTATATGTTATGTATTTAATGTTTATCATACATATTACATATTTTACAATATATTATGTAACTTATATTATTAATTATACATATTAATTATATAATTGTTATATAATTATTATTTAAATAGTCACCTGATATATATCATTATATACTATATGTCACACAGAATATATTATATCAAAAATAAAATCTCTATATATGTCAAATGTTTTAATATATATTATTAAATATATAATATTCTGTTTGTGTGTCTAATTGTATGAAAAGACTGGGATGTTTTTATTACCAACTAGACTGAGAGTCAAAAAGTCAAGGTGAGGAGCCAACATACAACATTGTCATCAACAGAGCTGGTCGAGTATTAGTCATAGTAATGGGGAAGGAAGGTGTTTGCAGAGGGACACTTACCAGGAAAGCATATGACTCATTTAACCAGGAGGAGGTCTGATGTGTAAGCAGCCTCTCCTGACATACCTAGCGACTGTCTCCATCATCACTCCATCACAGTCATGCTATCAGAGTATATGCGGAGACAGCTAAACTTTACTTTCTAAAGTCAGGATTCCTGTTTGCCCGGGGACTATTGGTTTAACAGTCTATTTGCATAGTTGCTCTATGCAACTAACCCTTATCGAGCAACATAACTGCAGCACAACAATGATCTTCATTACAAATTAATATTTGGCTATCAAACCTGTATGTTATATATACTGTGTGTGCATATATATATATATATATATATATATATATCTCAAAATTTAGCTTTTCCTGATATAATATATATATCAAAATTTAGGGGCGCCTGGGTGGCTCAGTGGGTTAAAGCCTCTGCCTTCGGCTCAGGTCATGATCCCAGGGTCCTGGGATCGAGCCCCACATCGGGCTCTCTGCTCAGCAGGGAGCCTGCTTCCTCCTCTCTCTCTCTGCCTGCCTCTCTGCCTACTTGTGATCTCTGTCTGTCAAATAAATAAATAAAATCTTTAAAAAAAAAATTTAGCTTTTCCTGAGACTGCAACTATGGTTTAACATTAGGAAATAAATTATCATAATCACCACATAAACAGATTAATGGAGAGAAACCACATATACTATCAATACAACTAACTCATTGATAAATTCAATGCCCATTGGTGACGACAGAGCTCTTTGGAAACAAGAGTCACAGTCTTTGAAGGAAAATGTGTCTTGAAACCCTATATATCAAAAGATAGAATGAAAATATAAAATGTCATATGTATACCAGAGATACTAGCTATGATAAGTTCCCGTGAGTCAGTAAGAGAAAGAACCCAATAGAAAAATGCTTCAATCAGAGCAAATCATGGGTAAATCACAGAAGAAGGCTAAAAGGTTAATGGACTTACAAAAGGCTCAGCCTTGCTAGGGAAATCATAGAACACAAATTAAGTCCACAATTAGGTACTATTTCAGATCCATCAGATTATCAAAAATTATAAATTATAAGCAAAGAATCAGGGAGATATGAAACGGTCGGCGCTCTTATGTTGTCGGCAGGATATAAACTGACACAATTTCAAGATCGGCAGTATCTAGTCACATTAAATGCGCACCCCTACACAGCAGCATTTTGAATTTAAGGTATATCCTCAGAGGAAGGCATTCACCCAACACAAGGACCCATGGAGAAGAATGTTCCCAGTGGCATGGTGTGCACCAGCATCAAACAAAACCACCGAGACATAAACTTCAGCGCCTATGCCACTAAACAATGGATTCGAAAACACAACATATTCATTTTTTTGCCACACTGCAGAGTGATTAAGAGAGTGTGTTCTGAGAGATACTACCTGACTTTCTATTTATCGGTTGCCTCTCTGTCTTAGCTTCCTCATCTATAAAGTGAAAATGCTTCCTACAGAGAGGACTGTGGTATAAAACAGGTAACATATGTGAAGGTTTCCTCATCTGTCATGGAGAGAGTGCCTGGTATCTGTAAGTTGCTTTTCTTGGTGCTGGTGAGACTGAATGTTGCCACACTGGCCCGCGTAATGTGTGCTGGGATTAACAAGCCCAGCGAGCCCAGGGCTGGATGTGTGCCCTCCAGGTATGAAAACGCAAGGATGGAAGGTTGCGTGGCCCACGCTGTTATTGAAGCAATGTTGTGATCTCCAAGTGCTGGAAGCAGCCCGAAGCTCCAATGGTAGGGCTATGGTTACATATAATTATGATATACTCATGGAATATTAGCTTTTGAAAGCAACAAGTGACATTCTATATACTAAATGTTTGTTAAAAAAATAAAATAAAATAAAATAAAATAAAATAAAATAAAAAACAGAAAAAGACATAGCTTTTGTAACCTGGAGAAGTAGTATTGGAGAAGGGTAGGAGAAACCTTGAATTTTTCTTCGTATCTATCTATATAGTGTGACTGATTACAATTTATTTGTATTACTTTTGAAACAAGAAAAGTTTTAATAATAAGCGTTCTAAAAAAGAAAGGGGATTATCTAGTAAAAATATGAAGTCGTTTTAGAAAGAGATTGACTTGCACAATTTTGTAATCCTGTAAAAGCTAAGAGTAGACGAATCAGCTCAGTGATCTGGATGTGATTTGCATGGAGTCCTGTTTTTTCCTTTCCTGAATCTCTTTACAGGATCAAATACAGAGTTGCTTTGTTTTGTAGCTGTTCTTATTGTTGTTTATTGCTAACTTGAGGGGAATACAAATACAGGTCCATAATCGTTATCTGAACTCCCTGGGGCCAAATGCATTTTGGACTCAGAATTTTTTGTCAGTGTTGTTCTACCTCTGTTAAAAATGCAGTTGGTATTTTGATAAGGATTGCCTTGAATCTGTAGATTGTTTTGGGTACTATAGACATTTTAACAACATTTGGTCTTCCAATCCATGAGCCTGGAATATCTTTCCATTTGTTAGTATTGTCTTCAATTTCTTTCATCAGTGTTTTACCGTTTTCAGAGTACAGATTTTTCACCTCCTTGGTTAAAATTTATTCCTAGGTATTTTATTACTTTTGGTGCAATTGTAAATGGGATTGTTTCCTTAATTTCTCTTTCTGTTACTTCATTATTAGTGTAGAGAAATGCAACAGATTTCTGTATATTGATTTTGTATCCTGCATCTTTACTAAATTTAGTTCTAGTAGTTCTAGTAATTTTTTGGTGGTGTCTATAGGGTTTTCCATGTAAGGTATCATGTCATCTACAAAGAATGACACTAAGTCTTCTTCCTTAATTGATTTGGATGCCTTTTATTTATATCTCTTGTTTGATTGCTGTGGCTACTACTTCCCGTATCTGTTGAATAACAGTGGGGAGAGTGGACATCCTTGTCTTGTTCCTGACTGTAGATGTAAAGTTCTGTTTTTCACCATTGAGTAGCATGTTAGTGATGGGTTTTTCATATATGGCCTATATTATGTTGAGGTATGTTCCCTCTAAACCTATTTGTTGAGGGTTGTTATCATGAATAGATATTATAATTTGTCAAATGCTTTTTCTGCATCTATTGAAATGATCATATGGTTTTTTACCCTTTCTCTGTTGTTGTGATGTATCACATTCTTGATTTTCCAATATCGATCCACCTTTGCACCCCAGAAATAAATCCCACTTGATCATAGCAATAGGTTTTTTGTTTTTGTTTTTGTTTTTTTTTATGTATTGTTAGATTTGTTTTGGCCTTCCCAGAGTCCCTGCCTTCTGTTGTTCATGCTCTTATGCAATTCCTTCCAACTGAGTGTGGGCAGGACCTGTGAAGTGCCTCTGACCAACAGAATATGGCAAAAATGATGGGATGTGACTCCTAAGATTCTATTTCATTATATGGGACTCCATCTTTCTAAAAGACATACTTCAGAGACACTCTCCTGAGCTCACTTTGAAGAAGTAACTGGCCATGTTGAGAAGCCCATGTGCAAGTGGTTGAGGGGAGCCTTATAGAAGCTGAGGGCAGCCTCCAGCCAAAAGCTCACAAAAAGCCAGGGACCTATGCCTCATAATAATAAAGAAATGAATTCTGCCAACAACCTGGGTGAGCTTAGAAGAGAATCCTTCCCCCCAGCCTGGCCAACACCTTAATATGCAGCTTTGTGAAACCTTAAACAAAGGACCAACTAAGCTGTGCCCAGATTTCTGACCCACAAAATTCATGAGATAATATGTGTGTGTTGTTTTAAGCTATTAAATCTGTTCACTGGAAGAGATAATACAGTCTCCAAATCATTTTAGGTTAGGTCTGATTTTGTAGTCAAACAAATTTTAAAAAGCTTTCAGTTTTTGGAGCTTTTTAAATTTTGTAATTATAAATAACATATTGCAGAAATATAGAAAGCACGGATTAATAGAATCAATGATTCAGGAAGCTCAGGCTTTGGAATTGGTAAATTTCAGTTTTCATTATGGTTCTAATATTTACCATCTGTGTTGTCTGGGTCAAGGTCCTGAAACCATCTGAATCAAAGTCCATAATGTTCATTGATCTTTCCTACATTGCTCTGAGAGTTGACTAAAATATTAACCACAAACACTATATCCCAGACACTGCACTAAGCACTTGACACATGTTGACACACTTACTTTTCATGATAACCCAATGAAGCAGGGATTGTCCGTATCTTCATTTTTTAGCTGGGGAAACTGAGGAAGTTATGTGCCTGGGGTGACACAGCTAATACATGGGGATCAGGAATGCGAAAGGTCCGCACAGATAACCAGTTCGCTGTGTCCTATCTAAGCACTAGAGCATGCTAACAAGGGGAGGGCAAGACAGTGCCACTGAAAACCACTAAATGACCTCTCTGGCTGTGAGGCTGCCCAGGGGCAGGCAGTGAACGTGGCTGTGACTTCAGGTCCCTTCCATCCATAGCATTTAGGGCTTCTTCACATACCTTGATAGCTCCTTAACATTTTCTTCACATCAAAATAAAGCTCAGAAACACTGCACACGGCATGAAGCTCCAGAGAGTGGGCGTCTGGTCTCTCCAACGTCATAGCCCAACTCCTAGAATAAGCAGAGGCCAAGGACTTGTTCAGTGAGACAGCCCATTCACCTTTATGTACCCATACCCCTTCCCTCGTGCGCTCATGTAGAACTTACCTGCGCAAAGTATCTTTCACATCCTACAGAGAAACACAGACAAAAAGTAAGTGGAAACATCAGTATTTCATGAGGCTTGGCACATGGGGCTGTTCTCTATACATGCTCTTTCCAAAGAAGTGAAGACATTTGACTCTAGCCTCAAATACTGATGGATACTCAGACAGAACGATTCCCATCCCAGCCGTCTGGGATATTCAGCATGGCAGGATGTGTACCAGTCTCTGAGTCTGCTGTCTTTCTGGCTGAGATCTGTGGGCAGCTATGGTGTCTGGAATCACAGCCTGTGGGATGCTTCGGGAAGAGGCCTAGGAGCTTTGCCCATGCTTCCTCTGGCAAGACTTGCTTTCAGTAACCTAATTCCTTTCAGAGTGAGCCCACACCACCTATCACTAAGGGTCCTTAGCGGTGAATCCGTGCACAGCTCCCTGAGAATGGCCCACTAAGATGGTGGCAGCGGGTGTCACAGGGAAGTACAGCAGTCATGCTATCATCTCCCATTTACAGTGTCACCTGAATCCTACTGGAAGGAACTAGAACTAATAGCTCCAGGCATAGTTTATCTTAATGGGGTAGATCTTCATACAGCTGAAAGAAGGCCCCATAAAGCTGTGGAGGGCTCTACAAGCGAATTAGGGAAAATACTGTCCCTCGTGTTGGCTGTCCCACTCTATGACCCACCAGTCAGCCGGTGGAATGCTTCGGGAGGCAGTTTGACAGTCAGGGTTATGTGGACATGGATCAGAGGCAAATGGTAGCAAAAGTTACCCCATGATTCCCTTTAGCCAAGGACCCTACCATATCCATCAGAAGGGCTATATTTTTCCGAGTCACAGAAACAGATATTTGTGATTCACTATAGACTAGCAAAGGCCACCCAATGCTGAAGTATACCTCAAAGAAACATTTCTTTCAATTCCCCATGCCCATGTGCCACTTGAGTGAGGGAGGCAGGCCTCACCAATCTGCCTATGTTCCCTCCCCCTTCTTCCTCTCTTAATAGCTCAAGAGTTCCTTCCCCCGAGGGCACAGCCCCACCTGCAGCAACTTCTGGGCTGAGCTCTGACATTTCTCCTCTAGTTCCAGGATGTGACTCCTGAGTTCTTGGCTCTTCTGTTCCAGAGTGGCCTCGTTATCTCTCAGTCTCTCCAGAGTCTGCTCTTTCTCTTTCTCCAGCTTCCAGAGATGAGACTTCTCCTCCTCTTGTAGGAAGCTCTGAAGATTTTTAAAGTCAGACTGGATTTTTTGTTTCTCAATCTCTATCTTCTCCTAGAGTCAAGAGAGTATGCTCAGAAGGTAGAAACAAGCCAAACGTCCATCGATGAACGAATTGGTAAAATATGGCATACAGATAGTGACGTACTATGAAGACTTAAAAAGGAATGAAATTCTGACTATGCTATGACGTGGATGAATCTTGAAGACATTATGCTAAGTGAAATTAACCAGAAACAAAAGGACAAATATTATATGATTCCACATATATGGGCTACCTATGCTAGCCAAATTCGTAGAGACAGAAAGTGGAACAGGGTTACCAGAAGTTGAGAAGAGAAAGGAATGGGGAGTTAGTGTTTATTGGGTACAGAGTTTTAGCTTGGGATGATGAAAAAGTTCCAGAGTTCAGTTTCCACTATTAGTTCCCACTCATAGACAGTGGTGATAGTTAAAGGACTTAACACCAATGAACTGTATGCTTACAAATGATTAAAATGGAAAATTTTATGTTATGTGTATTTTAACACACACAGAAGAATGTTTTCTCAGTCATTGGAGCTGGAAGAATGTCACAGATTGCCTGCCGCCCAGTCATGCCTAGGAGGCAAGCACTGAGATGTGGAAGAGTTGTCATGGTTCTGACAGTCACCTGACGGATTTCCTTCTTCTTCAGCCAAGATGCAGGAAGAAGGAGGGGCAGTAGTGCCAGATAATTTAATCACGGAACTGGAGCTGAGGTCAAACACTTTATCAGTAACAGAGGAAAAAAACTGAATTTTTATTTGGGAGGTAAGGAGGTATTTCTGAGCCTGAGGGAATTTCTGGAAGCAACAGTTTGTAATAAACATCATGGAGATTGGACTCAAAAAAACAGGCTAGTAGGGAAGTCCATGGTTTCAGCAGGGGGAGGTCTGGGTGGCAGGCTTTTATCATAGTTAACTGAGAAATATTCACCACCAGTCCAGGGTCCAAGTAATCATCTTCACGTGTAAAAGTGATAGAAGCCAAGGGATATAAGTCTTTTTGGGTCAGGCCTTCAAATTTGGGAGATAGAGAATTACAATTTCCACTAGTGCTTCCCCAACTCAGACAGTGTTTTGGTAACTGAGAGGATGTGCTAGAAGGGTTATGGATGGGGTTTCTGTATATATTAGCTATAATCAAGATCCTACCCATGGCCCAAGATCCCAGAAATGAGGGAGGTGACAGCATCCTTGGGGAGTTTAGCATCCACACACAAAGGATCAGGGCAGAGGAAGGAAGAGACCCCTGAGAGAGGCAAAATGGTCCACCAGGCTGAGGCATTTGGCTACAAGTTGATGGGTTACATAAATATTTCCATAAAGGAATGCATCTCTGATCATGGGGAACTAGTCAGCCATGGGATCATCTTAGAGACTCTAAGTCTGCAGTTGAAGTGTATAGGTTCTTGCAAAGTTGTGACCCTCTTTATAAGTCAGATAGACTTCTTTTACCAACCTCATGAGCTTGAGGACTATGAGTCTCAACCTGGAGTGATTCTATTTCCTTAATGTTCACAAAGATTGACTTCTGAACCTACAAGGCTGAGAGCCACGGCCCGCACTGTGGTAAGTGTGCCGAAGTAATAACGTTAAGGCCTTCAAACCAGGAAGGCACTTTGAGGTATTTCAAATTTGAAGCCTGGTCAATGACGGCTCTAACTAAAATAGGCATACCAATTCTACTTCCCCTAAGGTATCAGGAATCCTAGCCAATTACTATTGAAAAGTTGAAGGGATCGGAAATAAATTCTCACAGATGTAGACAACTAGGGGTATTAAAAAAATGGTTTCTTTTTGGGGTTTCATCTGGTCTGGTTTACTAAAAATAAATTATCATTGTGTTTTGCCAACCATTCCCCATGCCTGCACTCTAGGGTAGAAAAGAGCTTGAGAACAATAAATGCAAATTCTTACATTCCATTCACTTATCTGCTTTGTTGTGAACAACTTCAGTTTTATGCACTCCTCTTCTAGTTGCCTCAAATTTGTCACAGCATTCTGAAGCTTCTCCTGAAGGAAAAATCGGGTGAATAAAGTTCATTCAATTAGTAACTCTCCATTGGGCACATTAAGGGGAACCCCAGCCCTCCAAGACTCTTAGAATAACCGAATACACACTGAGTCATTACAGTAGTTTAGGAAGCACGCCGAAGGCTGTATGTGCAATCACAGATTTGATTCCCTTGGCGGCACAGAGCAATCGGTAGGATTCTTAACACCATTTCTGTGCAGCAGAAACTGAGGCTTAGAAAGGGGTTAAATAACTTGCCCGAGTGCTGTAACCCCCTCATAGATAGTTCTGAGTGGCTGCTGGAGCTGAGATGCGGTTCCAACCTCGTCTGCTACCCCAGAGCCTGAGCCATATCCACTACGGTCTTGCCAGGGAAACACTTTACGCAGAACTTCTCATCATCATCTACAAGATTTTATAAAATAATGTGTTGAACCAAACATAACCAATGCCAGGGTGATGCACAGGGAACTCTGAATGTGTTATGTTCAGTTGGGAAGGGAAGACCAAGATGTCAGCTAAAGTTACCTGGAACAGTTAACACAGGAGAGGAGCTCTGCTGTCTTTGAAGAGTGGTAATTCGTGAAGCCAATCTAAAATGATTTTGTATCTATATCAAGTTTTGGGGTTATTTTTTAAAACAGTTTTTCACATTTCCGTGGAAAAGAATTTGAAGTGACCTAGATCGCTGCTTGCCATCAATTCTACAAGATCAGCTCCTGTCTTCTGTAAACTCAGTGAGTACACTCGTTAATTCTGAGAACTCTCGAGAAAGGGCTCTATGAGACTTGTCAAAGACTGTATTGCCATTGCTATCCGGGGGACCCAGAACCTCACTACAAGCCCGCCTCCACCTCACAGGGGCAGGAACAAAGAGCCCCACACTGGGGACATTTTCTTCAAATCTAGGCAGGACAGGGAGAGAATAAGGTAGCAGTACTGTACCCTTTCTTCATTCCCTTGAGCAAAGGCCAGCCTTCTTTACTGCTTCTGAGTGAGAAACAGGAGTTGCCCCGAACCTCTCCCTCCACTTCATCCTCCATGAACAATCATTTTCCAATCCTTTAGCTCCTCTTCCTGAATCTTGCTTGAAACTACCCCTTCCCCCTTCTTACAGGAATAAGCTGAATTTTACTCCTAGATACACCTTTCACTTTCAGTAAAAGGCCAGAATGCCCTTTTCGACGTCAACCTGATTCTTCAATCTGCAAATAAAGCCCCCCAGTGGGCAGCACCACTCTGCCCACTCTACGATTTAGACTCTGAGTTGACACCACAGTTCCGGACCAACCTCCTTTCCGAGGCCATCACCTGGCATTCCCTACATCCCCGGCCCTGGCTATGACCTCGGACCTATGGTCTCCTCTGCCCGGAACACCCTCTCTTCTCTCCGGGCCTCTACCTGTGGTTGACTGTTACGTGCTCTTCAGGAGTCACTTCCAGAAAGGCTGCTCAGACCCCCTCCCCACCCCTTGTTGATCCTCCTCCCCACCCAACCAGCTGATTCCACGCGGCCTCTTTTACTGATTTGTCTTCCCCGCTGGACTGTAGGATACCTAAAAGGTGGTATGTCTTTGTCTCCTGTGTTTTCAAAGTGCATCATATGGTCTCGCCCACTGTTAAAATTACATACATGGGGCGTAGCAATAACACAGGCAGGTGTGCATCCGAGTACATGGCGATCCGGAGCAGGGAGACGTCCACCGTAGCAAGCAAGAAGGGAGGGGGGCAAGAGTGGGACCCCCCTGTTGAAGGTCAGGACGGACGGTCGGGACTTGACTCAGTGAGAACCCACAATACACTATTTCTCATATCACGAAAGACGTGACATGAAGGGTGACACGAAGACAGCTGTGTTTCAGGATCATCGTCTCAGGTTATAGGCTAAATAACCTGGGTCCCCAGGGAGCAGCATGGGAGCGGCACCTGCCAAAACCTGCCAACCCACACACTCACCTTGTAGTCCTGGCATACGTCCTCGATGAGGGCTGTGTGGTGCCCTTTGTGCCGCGGTGACCGCTCACAGCGCCAGCAGATGAGCTGGCTCTCGTCTTCGCAGAACAGGTGGAGGTGCTCTCCGTGCTCCTCACATGACATCTTGTGCTCCATCTCCTTGATGGCTTCAATGAGACTCCCCAGCTGCTTGTTGGGCCGGAGGCTGGCCAGCCGAAATGGAGCCCGGCAGTGGGGGCAGGGGAATGTATTGGACGATGTGTCCACAGGGCCTTGGTTCTCAAGGAAGCTGACGATGCATTGACTGCAGTAGCTGTGTCCACAGCTGATGCTCATGGGCTCAGACATTAGGGACAGGCAGATGGCACACGTGGCTTCCTCCTTCACCTTCTTGGTGGCTGAGGCCATGGCTTTTCCTGACAAGTTCCAATATGGGATCTAGAGGCAGGGATGAAAATCCGCAGGTATGGAAATACACCTCACCTGAGCCTCCGAGCCATGCACTGCGTGGGAAGCCACCGGCCTCCACAGGTCCTAGAGTCTTCTCTCTAGAGAGATGAGATGGACTGGGATTAAAATGGTACATAAAATGAGGCTGTGTTGTGGAAAATGGCAGTCACGATCCCATGTGTCCACTTATATTTAAATTAATTAAAATTAAATAAAACTTAAAACTCGGTTTCTCAATCCCGCTAGCCATATGCTTAACAGCTGGGGCCACTGGAGGCTCCACGATGGCCCATATGCAACACTCCATGGGTGCACAGTTTTCTCAGACCCAGCACTGACCCAGACAGAGAGCAAGGAAGGCTTCCTCACCAAAGCTGTAGCAAGACAGACCTCAAGTGAGGGAGTGTGAAACTCCTACTCTACAAACATCAAGAATCCTTATACCAGAACTGTTTCTTCGGGACTGGGAGCAACCCTGAAGTAACTGGGTGGCCATGAAGGATTCCCCTGAGGTCGTCAAATTTGACTCTGCTGGAACCCCACTGCCAGCTCTCTCTGCCCCCACTCCCACCCCACGGGGGACAAAAGACACCGGGTTAATAATGTCTCAACGGAGCCCCAATAACGAAAGCAAATGAGGCAACCGAAAAGAACCAATGTGTCTTTGCTGTTGTCCTCTCAGTCCTGAGGGAAAGATCTGGAAAGAGTTGGGAAAAGAAGGGTTGTCCCCGGGAACAGAGCTCCTGCAGAATGAGGGAGGGGACCAGTTCCCCTCCAGGCCAGGACGTGGTTCTCGGGGTGACGGGAGCACGGGGGAACGGGGTGGGGGGTTTGCAGAAGCCAGGGTGTGGGGGAGGCCACGGCCCGAGGGTGTTCCGGGGGCTCGGCCTCTTGGTGTCCAGCGGCGAGGACCCGACGACGGGTGACAGGGAGGCCTGACCTGAGGCACCCACTGCGGCTGGCAGCGGCTTGGGGAACCTCGCCCTGTCCCCCGCTCCCCAGCCCCGCGCCTTGGCGGGGAGGGTCGCCGAGGTGCGAGGAGCAGCCTCTGCACTGACAGGGCCAGACACGAAATCCCGGCTTCCGCTCCGGCTGCGAGGCGGCTGCCGGCATCTGAGAGCCAGGGCCGGTCCTCGCAGTCACGGCGGATTTCCTCCGGGGACCTCCCTTCCCCGGCAGGCGGCTTCTCACCCGGACCACAGCCGGCTCCCCGGCGCCGGGGTGCGGCGCTCCCCGCGGGAGGCCCCGAGCGTGCGGGGCGGGCGGGCAGGCGCCCTCCCTCACCGCGCAGCTCACGGCTCCCCAGGCCCGGCGGGCGCTCCGCGGGCGCAGGAGCCGGACAGCCGCCGGGAACGCGGGCAGGGTCCCGGCGGCGCGGGCACCCGCACACGGACCCCTCGCGCTCCCCCCCACACCCCCGCGCTCATCTCCGCCCCCTGCCCCGCCGCGCGTGCCCACCACCCTCCCCCACCGCCGCCCGCCACGTACTCGCCGCCGCCGCCCGAGGCCCCGCCGCCGCCCGAGGCCCCGCCGCCCGCGAACTGAGAAGCGAAACTGCTGTGGGAGGCGGGCCGCGAGCGCCCGGAAGGCGGTCTGAGGAGACGCCCGCGAACGCCCGGGAGGAGGCGCCCGGGGGTACCGGGGGGGGAGGCGCCAGCTTTGCGCTCAGCTCGACTGGGGTTAGGGGAGACGGCGGGAGAGAAGACCCTTCTTTCACAGCCGTGAAGGGACGGGAGAAATGAATCACCCCGTCCGCCATTTGCGACCTGAGCGAGAGCGTCTCGAATCAGGAAGCCCGCAGAGGGTCCAGATCTTTCTCCTTCGGCCACCGACCCCCTTTAGGATCCGTAGCCTTTGGGGCCCATGTTGGTGCTGTTCTTAGGTCGCGCGCGGTTGTCCAACAGCTGAAGGGCGTGGGAGAAGGGGTGGTGGCAGGAGCAGAGTTCCGGGCGTCCCGCAGTCGGCCCACGCCAGCCCCACTTCTCTGTCCCACGCTCCTTTCCCTCCTCGGCCGCCCTCCGAGGATGCGGATACCGCGCTTCTCCACCCTCAGACGCGCGGCCCAGGACTGCAAACGGGAGCCCGCAGTGGGCCGGCTGCGAGTGGCCTCAGCGGGGGCCGTCACGGGACCTGCACAATGGAGGACAGGCTATGGGGCCGGGGACTTCGCCCAGACAGGGTCCTGCGGGTCCCAAACCGTGGGACACGTTCCTCTCTTGCCTTCCTAGACAGGGATCTCTCTTAACCACTGTGCTTCCCGGGCTGCTCACAGAGACTTATGCCGCTCTGCAATCCAGTGGCTCATCGTGTCCCGCTGGCACATAGGGTCGTGGCAGGCCCTGCGCCCAGCACAGAACATAGCTTCTCCCGAGGCAACCAGCGCACAGACGAAGACCCAGAATGAGGCCCTGAGGCCCTGACCCCATGATGCATCCTTGCTGATCCCCATGACTTTCACTGTCGTGGATGTGACTCTGGACCCAGGCAGAGCTCGTCCCAAACCTGTCTGGTCAAAGGATCAGGCAAAGGAAGCCAGTGGATGCCGAAAAGAAAGCAAACTGCCACTGCTACAGATAAGAGCAAGAGAAAAGCAGCGACCTCACGACAGGGTCTGTCTTGCAACGGCCGCCGCACCTTGCATCCGTTTCCTGTTGCGTGAAGGAGGGACTAGTTCGTGCAGAGAGCTGCCCGCAGTGTTAGAAGAGGAGGGGAACGCAGATGAGCCTTCGGAGATATGTCCCCCACATATGGGCCTAGAGAGAGACCCATAGGAGCTGCTGCGAGGGTAAATGCCTCTCCTCCAATGAGTGAGGCTAAGTGCAACCCTGTGAGCCTGGGATGCAGGAACAGGAGATGGGGCACCGTAGTCTCTAAAAGCATGCACTCGGGGCGGTCCCTCTCTGGGGAATACTTGTCCTTCACATAACCCCTGGGTGCCTTCCCTCAACTCCTTCAGGAATCCCTTCTCTACCAGGCTTACTCTGACCACCTATTTATAGTTACACTCCTCCCCTTTTGGGATCCCTCTTACAGTCTCTAAGCAACTGACTCTTGGTTTTGGTTTAGATCCTGATCCCAGGGTTGTGAGACTGAGCCCCCCGTCAGGCTCCACCCTCGGTGGGGAGTCTCTCTGAGAGTCTCTTCTTCTCCCTGGCCCTCCTGCGTGTGCTTTCTCCTCTCCCTCTCTCTCTGTCTCTCTCAAATAAATCTTTTTAAAAAAAAATCCCTTTAAGTTTATTAACTTGTATTATGGCCCAGAATGTGGTCTATCACAATGAATATAACCATGTGAACTTGAAAAGAACGTGGGTGCAGATGTTCAGTATAATGTTTTGTAAGCGTCAATTCATTCCAGGTGATGGATATGGTTTTTCAGATCTCCTACATCTTTACTGATATTTTATCTAGTTATTTCATCATTATTGAAAGAAGAATATTAAAATCTCCAGCTGTGATGGTAGAATCCTTTATTTTCCTTTTAATTCTTTCCATTTTTTACTCCATGTATCCTGGAGCTCTGTTGTTAAGCTCATACACATATATGATCATTACATTATCCTGCTGAACTGACCCTTTACCAATACAGAATATCACTCTATCTCTGCAAATACTCTCTGTCTTCAACTCGGTCATTAATATAGACGCTCGGTCTTTTTATGCTTGCTGTTTACATAGTACCTTTTTTCTACACATTTATTTTAAACTTATCTGTTTTTTTATATTTCAAATGTTTCTCTTCTAGCAGACATATGTTCAGTTCTTCCATTTTTTAATGGATTCTAACAATCTTTGCTTTTTAATTGGAGTATTTAGACCATTAACATTTAACATTAACCTTTACTTTTCTTCCCATACTACACTGGCTGGCATCTCCCAGACAATAGTGAACATAAGTTGTGAGAATTCGCTTCTTACTTTATTCTTAATCTGGGGGAAGGGCATAGGTGGAAAAAGCTTTTAATAATTTATCATTAAATATATTGTTTCTTGATATACTACTATTGCATTTTAAATTATCATTATTAAAAAAATAAAGTTATTACATTTTACATGAATTATTAGGAGAAAATATTTTCCAGGAAAATAACATAGCAACATCTCTTAGTTTTGTTTCCATCTTTCTTTCACATTTTATATAACCTACATATGGGGCACATTATTGAAACTACATGTATTTTACATGGCATCTTAGTGACCTCCTTGCTTACATGTTCATCAACAGATGGCACTCTTGCGTTTTTGGTGTCTTACGTCCGTATGGTTTTGCCTTTAAGAAAGCGTAACTACTTTTTTGATCAATATTAAAAAGAATTGTAAATTTAATCTGTTCTTACAGGTGACTTCAAATGGCTAACAATGGCATTTACTTCCAAACAGTCATTTTTAAATGTACTTATTCACACAATAAGTGTTTATTGAATAGCTTTTCTACGACAGACACTAGGCTGGACCCTGGGGATATACCAATTATATTAGAGATAATTTATTTCCTATAAAAGTTTCCAGAAAGCTAAAACATGTAAAAAAAATTATATCCTACATGTTATAACAAGGTAGTAAAAAGTGTTGAAGCTGAGAAAAAAAATAAAGGAGCGTGCAATTCCCGGCAGAATCTGGATACTTCTGCAGAGTTGAAAACTTCTGAGTCATAATCTGAAGGAGAAGTGAAAGTTCACCAGGGGAAGAGGAGGGCCAGGAATTATAGTGAAAAGGTCAAGAGTCATTAAAAGTATTCCATGTTATGTGAATACAGTGAGGTTCCAGAACCAAGAGCATGGAATCCATGAGGAAGATCGGTTTCAAATAAATCTGGGACCAACATAGTGAGGCAACTAGCAGAACTCATATCTCCTTCCTACCCTCTCCCTGCATATTTCCTTTATAGGATTTTTGCATGGAGGGAAAATTCATAACCACCACTGAGCTGGGGTGCTGGGGGAAGGTAGAGAATCTGCTCGGTTTGCTTATCCCAAGCTAGGCTCTTCCCCTTGGCCCAGACAGCCTAAGTTCAGGTCCTAGGGACCTGTCACCTACATACAGAACCTACCCCGAGGTGGATTCTGCCCCGAGATGGACTAAAACCCTCCCCTGACTCTTAGTACAGCTAAATTCACTCGCAGACGAGTCTCCCTTTCCAAGAGTCTCTTACCCCTAAGACTCCTCAACATCTTCAACACCATTCAGGGTCATGGAGGTACTGCCACGTCCTTAGCTCTATGACTGATACAGCAATGCAGGAACGAGAAGACCATCAGCCCTTGGATCAGACCCTTTTCTCTGGCCCCTATGACCATCCACCTGTTTTGAACTCCGATGCCAAGAGATCTTTGGCCCCAAGGGCACTTTGCAGTGAGGTTTAAAAATCCAACGAATCTACAAAACACCCAGCCTGTACCCTTTAAGAACTCATTGTCTTGGAAGATGAAGAGGGTGAGGAACTGTTCCCGGTTAAAAGAGACTGAAGAAACATGACAACTAAATGCAAGTTGTGATCCTAGACTGGGCAGAGGGGAGAATGTTAGGAGAGACATCCTTAAGACAGCTAGTGAAGTTCAAACTTAGAGATAAAATATTTAAGGATAGAGGATGATATCTGCAACTTAACCTCAAATCCTTGAGCAATTATATACAGAGACACAGATCTATAAAAGGATGTATGGGTAGAGAGAAAACAAATGTGGCATGATATTAACAATTGGTGAACCTAGGTTTGGATATAGGAGAATTCTTTGTTTGTCTTGCAATTTTTCTGTCTGAAATTATTTCAGAATAAGTTTTTAAAAACCACAAGTACCATCGACCATTGACAGATACACCAGGGTGCAGGTTCAGTAGGGACTTCTAGGTTCAGTGTGCCTTCTAGGTTATGAGATAAAGGGATCCTGAGGAGGAGACAGGCTGCTTGGTTCCTCCCTTCGGGACTAGGGCTCTGGCTCTCTGTCTCTGTCTCTCCCCCACACACCCCTCTGTATATCACTCCCCCGATCTGGTCTACGTCTCTCTCTACCCCAATGGCTTTGTGTTGTGATGGGTTGCTTATATGTTTGTTTTGTTTGCTTGCTTATTTTTGATCTTTTTCTCTTTCTGTAACTGAAAGTAGACCTTCCAGAACGGCCTGTTGTACTCCAATCCATCCTGAGCATGGATTGGGGGGTGGGGGGGCTTTATCCTGTTTGGAGTTTTCTGATTATCTTGACCCCGTGCATTTATGTCTTTCAATGTATTTGAGAGTTTTTAGTCCATATGGATTCAAATATTTTTTTTCCACTCTGTGCCATTTCTCCTGTTCTTCTGAGGCTCTGATGACCCAAATGTTAGAGCTTTTCAAAATTGTCCTACAGGCTTGAAACAATGCATATTTATTTTTAACCAGCATCTGTAAATCTGAAATTGAGGCTTAGCTGAGTTCCCTGCTTCAAGGTCTCACCTGAGTGCAGTCTAGATATTGACTAACTCTGAGGGCTCATCAAAAGCACGACTAGGGAAATAGCCGCTTCCAAGCTCACT